TCTGTGTTATGGAATCATTATAACAGTTATTAACAGCTAAGCAAGAGTATCAATCATACACAACTACAGTAATTCATGATCACAAATGTGCAATAAGAGGCACAAAGATTAATAAAAATCTTTACAAGTGGTATCTAAGACCAGAAAAAGTTATTCTTTTGATTATAGATGTGATAATTACACTAAGCTCACAAGAGAAATGCACTAAGACATAAATGGCTTAAAATGTCTACTAAGTGTTTTCATCACCTTTCATGTCACTCACAAGTTTCCTACTTTCTGTGTTATATAACAACATAGATGGCAGCACCACCATAAAAGTTAACTCTTACATAGTGCTAGAAACTATTTAACCCATTCACAAAGGTGATGTTCTATCAAGTCATGGGAAAAAATCCAAGATGCCAGGTGACGTCTAATCATATCAAGAGGTCATCTCCCATTGGCTGGGATAAGAGCTCCTGAACTTAGCTATGAGCTGGACAACAGCCCAGACACAGAGCAGTGTATGCTAATGCACCCTAGCCTCATTAATCTTTACCCAATATTTTACCTTTTTATTGTGCCTTTATAGAGCTGTCCATAAACTAAACTACCTGAAGAAGTTGCATATGCATTTAATTTATCTCGTCATAATATAACTAAGAAAATAACAGTGAAAGCAATACAAAAGCACTATTAATTAAGAGATGAATGAGCTAATCTGAAATCTGGAAATATCTCAGATCTTAAAATAATTACAATTGATTTTTTTCACTTTTAGACTTCTAAACTTCAGTGTAAAGTATCTTTAAACCACTGGGAAATAATTTTTTTACATGTGATAAATATTGGAAGATTCATATGTGTAGAGACACATCTCATGAAACTGTCACAATCTAAAGGAAAAACTAATGAAAAAATATAAACCCATTCTGTGAATCACAAGATTCCCTTGAAGACCCAATCACTTTTGTTCTAATCCACTGCTGGATACTCTACTGATTGCATGTATCACTGGAGCACACACACACATACACAGACACAGATATGAACACACACAAAGAAACAAACACAGCCAAGTAATGTGCTGTGTTTCTGCATATGCTTTCTAAGAGTGAATGAAATTCAG